AGAATTTGTCGAAAGTGTGGAATTTTACACTGAGAAATACCATACTTAGGACAAAAATTGATCGTCAAATTTTTTCAGAAACAGGGCCTTGGCAGAAAGGAAATAACAGGGTCAGTGAGCCTACTGATGAAAAGAAAGATATATAACAAGGATAACAGCTTAGGATCACAAGATCCTGTCTAACAGCTGGTCCTTGGCCAAACTTCTTGGCAATGATTTTTCCCAGGTTATCCATACCCATTTACAGCTGAGTCGAATAAAATACTGAGGAAATATCACTTATTCTAGCACACAGAGAAAGTCAATTCAAAAGGCACGATTTAAAACAAGTCGCTGGAAGCAGAATTGAGAACTAATAATGCAGAAACGCCAAATCAATGCAGAAACACCAAATGCAGAAACACCACATCGATGCTGAAACACCAAATCAATGCAGAAACACCATCCTCTTCTGAGCTCTGTGGCTGAAATAAGAAAAAAAAACATTATGTCAATGATCCGAAGCTCAAATCTTTTAGCCAACACAATTACTTATTTTGATCGCAACGTGTTTTTTTAAACAAAATACTACCTCTTAGAATGAACAGTAGATAAATGAAAAAGTAATTTGAGTTATCTACAAGTAATTATTGAACAACACTTAACATTTTTAGGGCATCTTGTTTTATGGAATTAATAGTATACAGGGAATTTTGTACAGTGTCCACTTTTATGCACATTCGAGTCAGAAAACTTTGAAGCTTCAACACAGCCAAAATACATTCTCGAAGTACGTCAATGAAATTTACACACAAAAGTAATTTAGCTTTACGATGCTGTAAACGGCAATTCTGTATCTCTTTTGGTTTCTGAGCATTTCTGTAAATCTGAATGAAACCAAGTTTTTTTGGCAGCTTTTCGAAAGAACTCAAAATCCACCTTCATGCACATTCACTGATTTAATGTTCATTCTAAGGTAGCATTCTTTTAAAATCATTACCATGTCATAACTAATTTGCAAATGTAAGCAAGGCCTAAAAATGTTGAACTTTTTGCTTTATAAATTCATATATGCTAGTTTTTCATTTTGGAAAATACCAGTCTATCAAACACCCTACAAATATTGAAATTGCGATGCATTTTAATTCAGTTGTAGAGAAACTATATGTCAAGATTTAATTTGTGAAGTGCTAAAATTTGCAGAAATAATGCTCAATGAACTGGCAAATAATTACATGACTATGTTCACTAAATCCCTTTAACATACCCACGGCTTTTCATCTGCAAAAGAGGTTCTTTTGAGGTCCCTCTAAATTCTTCACTTATTCTTCTGTTCTTCATCTGTTCTGTAGGCGCCGCTTCATCTGTTCTTCATCTGTTCCACTTCATCTGTGCCTCTTCATCTGTGAATAGGAGGTCTGAAATGTCATACAGGCCATGACCCCAGAACACTCCTATTGTGGCAGTGCTATTGCGGGTAGGTAAATTACCAGACGATTTACCCTTTCTAACCTGAAAACATAAATACATGATCAATCAAACATATTGAAGGGATATTTAAAATATTTCATATTTTTTTTCTTTGTTTAATTTTGCCTATCATTAACAAATTCAAAGAAAAACATGAACAAAATAGAGACAAAATTTTGGCATCATCATTCTCGATTGGCTGTTTTCTCATTTAAACCCATTTATTTGTTTACAAAAATATCATGATTCACAAAACTGTATAAGATAAAACATTGCAAAAATATATTTCTAGCAGACGAAC